TGCTCTACGAAAGAAAAACCGTGTAATAACAATGTGAAATGTAGTAATCCATCATTAAATGTACATGAATTGAATAATAAGGCCACACCAATTTAATTTGTTGGTTCTCGGATTTTTTAAATGAAAAATGTAAAGCGACAGGGCGAAAAAAAACATGCCCAAATGGTAAAGCTAAGGCTGGAAAAAGAAGGGATTGAGAACAAAGATATGACTATACATGCTAAAACATAACTGTTTTATAGCATATGTATCAAGGATCAATAATTGATGTTATTGATTTCTAATTAACAATTTTTTTTTCATTTTGAGATTTTTTGAAGCGGCGATTCCGAGAACCAACAAATTAAATTGGTGTGGCCTAAGCTCAGATTACCACGCTAGTAGAAATATTAGTGGTATTTGCAATACATTTATCCGATGCGATTATTGGGCAATAAACCGTGATTTGTTATAAAATCGAAGCCACTCATTTTTTTGTATTTTGCTCAGTTTTCTTTTTATGTCTGTCATTGTTTGTTATGGTAATCTCGGGTAAGCCATAATTCTTCTATGGGTCGGCGTTATACAAGTTCTAACTGGTGTAAGCAGTTGAGCAATTAATATATATAACATCTCTTGCAGCAAAACGCTTTACAATGACCCGATGAAGACGTCCCAATATAGACAATTATCCTTACTGTTACAAAAGAAGAAGAAGGTCTCCCGTTCTCTTGCCTGAGCGTAGGGTGGTGCCCATCACCATTTCGTAGCCCTTGGGCGACACACAATTGTGCAATGCACTACAACAGGGGGTAGTCCGCTGGTAGTGCTGTGTGTTTGACCTTCCCAAACTCTTTCTCATATGTGCTGAGTGCTAAGCAGAGAAAGAAGTGTGTACCATTTTTAAAGTCTTTGGTATGGTCCGGCCGGGGTTTGAACTCACGACCCGGCCGGGGTTTGAACTCACGACCTCCCGGTTACAAAGCGAGCACTCTACCAATTGAGCTATTGCATCGGTGTGCAATTATAACTTACTGTTACAGGTGTTAGTAATTGCGGGTGCGTCATATTTCCTTTCCTGATAATTATCCCAATTAAGCAAAATTATTAAAATATAAACTTTGCCAATATATAAAATATTGTAATTTGAATGTAATAGAAAAATATAGAGTATAGAATGTCATGTTGTTATAGAATGCAGGTTGTTTAATAAAGAGTGAAATCAACTGTAAAAGTTTGTACAAAACCTATTTCCCTACTTCCATACGGGGCTTAAAGAAGCTGGATTTACGACATTTTGTTCAACGTGCAGGCCTCACCTACATTTACATCGTACATGTTTTCTCTCTCGCCGGCACTCCTATTAGGCCATGTTGATTTGATTATATGAATGACATCCGCGCGCGCATGAATTTTCGGCCGTTTCAAAAAAAAAGTTTTCAACCATACTGTAAATCGTACAAAACAGTTGCAAAATGAGCAAAAATATACTATAAGTTACAAAAAAAATTAATAAAACTATACCAATGTGGTAGAATGCGAAAATCTAACGAAAAAAGACGAAATTGTAAAGAAATGAACTTGAAGACTAGATTATTCGCCAAACCATATTCTGTGCCATTTGCTCAACCCTCATGACCACGTAGATTTCATAATGAAAAGAACTTTTTTTTTTTTTGTCACAACTTTTTTTTATTCGCACGCGCGCATCAGTTTTGGGGCTCCCGGAGGATGTCATCCATATAATCAAATCAACATGGCCTAACTAGTATTTACTGTTTAGCAGGAAACATCCCCAATTACAAGCGTGAACGGAAGGCTGCGATCCCTTTTGTATGTCTGCTAGCTAATTAGCGGGGTGCCTTGAGGCTAAAGCTGAAAACAAGTCCATATAAGTCCCTGCGTATACGTAATTGCTGATATCCTCTTTCACCTAGAGCAGAGAATCTAAGTGAAACTGCCGATGACTGTCTAGTACCATATGGAAAAATGCATTCCAATAAAGATATAACCAAAGCATTATGAGGCCACATGCATTTTATTTAATGGTATTGGATAACATTGAATAAATACACACTGTGTAACCACATACATTAATTCACATGAAGATATTGCAATCATCATTATCGTCGTCGCCACCGTGGCTAGACAATGCGGACCACAACAAGCTCTTTTCTACTCTCTTCAGGTCGGCACTTGCCTGCAACTATCCTCTAGTTCTCCAAAGCTTTCTCTCTTTCTATGACACTATGAAATGCTCTGTTTTACATTGCAAATACACTACAATACACTACTTCCGCCGCGCCGCGTGCCTGCGAAGCTGGTGTGTTACGCCGAAAGGCGGTTATACCGGCTATACAGATACAGATACAGATTTCACAGCCAGGTCGATACTTAAATAGTATTTAAATGACACGCTTTTTTGATAGTTACCACTGACAGAAAACCAAGATTCACAAAAATACTTACATTCTTTTTAATGGATGACATTCCATGTTACCGTTTTTTATGCCATATATGATGTTTTTGTGTTTTCTTATGCTTTACCTTTGAAGCTTTTTCTGCTAATTTTACAAATATAGCTTTTAGACGATAGAGAAAAATACTTTGTATGTTCTCAATTTTTTTTTTGTCTCGATAAGCTGAAAATATCTTTTCTAGTCTGACAAACAATCTATTTACGTGTACGAAACGAATTTTTACGTTAGAGGTATCTGCGTACATGTATTCTATGGATGCTGTGATCTGATTTCTTGACTCTATGGAGTCGTGCCTGGGCATCTTCGTCTTTTGGAGAGGCCTATTAGTCCCGTTTCTGGGAATCCATGGCCATGTTGAGTGTCGCTTCCATAAAGATCACGGACATGGTGATGAGAACAGATACCACCGCGTACAGCAGCAACCACCAGTAGACACATGGAGCCTCCTGAAAGATAAAAAAAATACGAGATAGCATTTTGCAAAACAAAAATAAAACTACTACCTTTTCCCCGACTTTGGCAATACGTTCCTCAATACAGACAACAGAAAAACAGTCGGGATCAATGTTAAATGCAAAATAGAACAGGTCATCTAGCTATTTAGCTAGAAAGAATGTACAATAAAATAGGAAGGGGGGTTGCTTGTTATAGTCTCCTGTATATAGGACCCAGCCCTGTCAACTCATACACAACACCAGCCCAACAGCATTTCCTCTGTAGTACTCTTAGAAAAGAGGAAAGAAATTAACACCTCTCGGTGGCAAATCTGCAGATGTTGACACTTTGGAAAACCAAATTCATAGTGTGTTTTTCGCACACAGTTAGACAGATTATAGTAGATACTGTCATACAGTCATAGTAGATACTGTAGATAGGAGATGTTAAGTAGGATTTACCATGGTCAGTATTGACCGACGGAGGCCATATATATAGACAG